ATATTAATCATTAAATCCAACCATAGTTTGATTAAAAAATTGGCCAACTGCTAGTTATTTACTAAATTACAGTAACATATTGTAATTGGATCTTGTGGATAATCCAAGCCACAAAATCCACTCCAAGCCACTCCATTCAGATTATCCGCGCCGCTGCGGATCCTGCGTGTATAATCCGCAGCCGCTTCGGATTCTGGCCCATTGGATCCGAATCCGCGCCATTGCGGATTCGGCGCGGATTGGCGCGGATTTTGCGGCTTCGCTGTGCCACTCTATTCGCCATCTTATAGCTACCGATTAAGTAACTATAAACCTGATTATGACCATTTCGGCATTCATCAACTAATGGAATAGTTGGCCCACATCCACAGGAGGGTTACCAGAGAGACAAAGAAGCCGCCAACATTCCATGCCGTTCCCCAGTCGTTGAAAATAAGCCCTGCGAAAATTATAGCCAGAAGGATCAATATCACTGTCAGAGGTAAGATTTTATGCTGTGAATCGCTGTTCCAACCCTCACTGATATTTAAGCCATGAAATTGGAGTTCACCCAGTTCTGGGCAATGCCATTCATCCAGTTTCCTTAAGATATCTCTGCCACCTTGACATCAGTTTTGAGGTTAATCACCACACATATCAGACTGACGAGCAAGCTACTTACATATGGCCATTTATTGAACCCTCTTTGTTAAGAAGGCAATTCAACGCAGCAAGTTTAGCATGAAAGAAAATTGAGTCAGCAGGAGCCGAGTATTAAGCTGTATAAGCTCATGTTATGACTTGTACAGTCTCCTCTGGGCATTCTCCATAATAATCAACAATGCGCGATATACAATTGTCGAGACAATCCACTGTACTGGTGGAAGGGTTGTATGGGCAAGGGAAATCCTGGGGCCGGTAATTTTAGATGATCTGCTCCAAATTTTTCTTTTTGGTGAGATGGTCCTTGCTTTTATGTATGCCAATGTATTTTAACATGGTGCAATGAAATGATGATTAATCAAACTTTCTCCTGCATTCTGCTGTAATCAGTGTTATGGTCATGAGAGCATGAGAGCATAGTGTCATTTGCCAAGAAATTCTGCATCAGTGAATGATTGTTCTTGTAGCATTGTCCTTTCCACAGTAGTGTGTCATGGGACGCAGCAGACTGGAAATTTGACAACAGAGCTTCAATCATTCATCACTTGGCAGTGAGGTTTGGTTCCAGACTTTACAGAATTGCCTCTGCAGGAATGTGACTGGTGTCTGTGGTGAAAATAACCAACAAAACCACAGATGCGGCATTTATGCCATTGGATTTGTTTCTCCCAGATGCTAAATCATTGTCATCTAGGCGTTCCAACCGCATACGCGGCACATGGGATCGGCATGGTTAGGGTGAAAGTGCGACGCACGACGGGCGCCCGCGGAGAGGGGCAATGAATGGGGTCAATTGTAAGCTGTAATCAGCCTTGGGAGTCAGTCAAGCCTGGAGTCAATACCTTTCCTTTGATAAGGGAGTTGAAAGGGCGGATACCATTAATGAAGAGCGGCCAGAAAAGCAAGACCTCATGTAAATTCATTTTTAGTAGAAGATAGGGGAGCAGAGAATATGAACCAATTCACTGTATAAAAATAGAGGGAGACAGAATCAGCTTGAAATGCCGGTCAATGTAAACAAGGAAAAGGAAACTGGAAGTGGAGGTGAGAGGGCGCAGCTGCAGTTTCTGAAAGAAAAAAGAAAAAAAGAAAGAGGGGGTGGCAGAATTCAAATGGCCAGGAATATGGGTGACTGCAGAATATGTGAGGGAGTCTGGGAAGAAAAAAAGATTTGGGAGGAAAAGAAGTCAGAACAGTGAGGGAGGGCTCTTTTATATTGGGAAGCCAGGCGGGCGGTGTTTACAGTACGGCGTACCGGGAGGCTATACCAGAAACGGCAAAACTAAGCACATGTAGTAATTCACAGGTCCTCATTTTACATGACCAATCCCATAATAGACTAGACCTGAAAAGACTGAGGAGAACTATCAGTAATCACCCCAGCATTAGTACTTACTTTTAAGGAAGCCGTCAAAGCAATGTACCCACCTGGTTATACCAGAATGTCACGCGGACTGGCTGTTCGGCCTTAATATACCACATGACGGTCACTATATCGTAGATTTGATCTTCGGGAGTATTGAAGGCTTTTGGCATGGTTGAGGGTAAGAAGCAGAGTGAGAATATTGTTTTAAGACGAAATTTGTATCAGACTCTGAGTGCATGGACAAAACTATACTAAATGACTGATCACTAACCAAACACTCTGTTCTCAACCTAGCTGCGTGGTTAAGTCCATACGTTTGGCTCTATCTTATACAACATTCAGTTCTTCGTTCTTCTTTCCAACCTGCATTGGCCCAAACGCCCTCTCTGTTTTGCGGACCCAGTAGTCGAATGTGGCTGCGACAATGCGCTCTTGCATAAGATAGTCATGAGCCTCCTGTGCCAATGCACCGGGCACGGGCTTTAGCGGTCCATATACACGAGCCCGAAGTTGGATGCGGGCAGCACGCTCAAGGTACACACACAGGTAGGTAGCCTCCTCGACTGTCGTTCCGGCTGTCAACATGCCATGGTTGGCAAGAACGATTGAACGGTTGGTGCCCAGCGCGCCGCTGATAATCACGCCCTCTTGGTCTGCAATGGGCACACCAGGCCATTCTTTTAGAATAGTGCAGTCGTTGTAGAAAGGAGTCATATCCATCTGCGAAACAACGATGCCCTCGCCAGCAGCTGCAAGAGCCTGGATCCAGGGCGAATGAACGTGAACAATGCTCTGGACATCGGGTCTGGCTGCGTAAACCCACAAGTGGAATCGAGTGGCAGGGTTGGCCATGCCGGTGCCGGTAATGGTATTCAGGTCTTTGTCGACCTCAATAAAGTCTTTTGGATTGGCTTCCTCCCAGCCAACACCGAAGCGGAGGGTCCAGTATACATCTTGTGACCGGGAAGAGCGAGCAGTGATTTGACCAGCAAGCCCAGCATCCTCTTGGAAATGGGCTATGACACGAGTGGCACAGGCCAATCTTTCATTCAAAGTGCGTTGTTTCGTAATCAAGTTCCGTTCCATATCACTGGCTGCCCGTTGATCAAAGTAGTCCTTGGGGCGGAGGTCCTCATCCACGGAAGTTGGTGCCATGTTGTGCAACTTGTGCGTGATTTGTAAAATAGAATAGAGTGTGTTCGGTTGCTTCGAGAATATGATTTTGAACCAGTTCGGTGCCTGTTAAAAGAATCTATGATGGAAATGACGGGGGTTAGGAGAGAGATCTTTATACATGATGAACCCCTGTTTGTATCGTTATAGCGAAGTATAGAAGTTCTCGAAATTTGGGAGCCGCTATGCGAGCCAATCGGATAGCTAGGTATATCCGAGCCAATCAGATGGCCAGAGATATCAGAGCCAACCCCTAATCCAAGTTATCTCTCGCCTCCATTATCTATCTAGTATTACTTGCGCGATGCCTGTCAAGGATCTACTTGTACAGGGTAGAAAACCTGTCTGTCAGGTAAAGATACCAATGGTGATTCGGGGAAGGGACAAGATATGATCCAATTCGATCAGAAAACTGAATCTTGAAGAACTTCAGTACGTACAGCGGTACAGGAAGTCCATGCCTTTTATCTTCCCAAGCAGATATCGATCAGTGACGTTGCCGGTAGCGTTACACCGTCAACTTCGGAGGACAGTAGCCCGTGGCCCCCGCGTTTGGAATGGCTTATTGCATGTCGGCAAAGGGGAACGAACCCTTTACAGCCGCTAAATACTAATCAGGCTCTTCTCGCTTTCTCACAGCTCCGACAACACGAGCCAGTCGTGCGGGTTTCCATTATTACTATGGCCGAGTTGATTTGTCGTCTCCTCGCATGCTTGTGCTAATTTAATCTCACCCCACCCATGTCTGCGCGTGTACCCCTCTATGTTGCTGCACGATCGACTGCAAAGCAGAAAAGACAACGGACTCGGTCAGGTATTGTATCCCCCAGTCATGTGTTCTTTTCCCGGCCTCTAGAATCTAGCCTAACCAACATTCTAGGCTGTTTCGTATGCAAGCGAAGAAAGGTCAAGTGTGATGAGGGGAAACCCTCATGTGGTCAGTGCCGTGCCAAAAGTCTCACTTGCACCTACGACCGTAATGCTACGCGGACCCGTGTGAACGATGACGCAAGGAATACTTCCACAGCTCTAGGGTCGATTCAAGCACCTACGATCCGGAGTTCCTCTTGGGACTCAGTGGACCCTGACAAAGTTTCTCACTCCATTCACGACCAAGATGTCGTGAACAGTCAGGTTGAAGAGCCACTCGCCAAAGATTTCTGCGCGCAAATGACTCGGAATATCATTCGGAGTGTCGACTGTCCGGGAAACCCTCATTTGGACGTCTTCAAATGCCTCATGCAGTCCCCAACAGTTCTACACGCATCACGAGCACTTGCGAACCTTCATAATTCTGCGCCCGCGTTATGTCCTGAAGAAGTTGTCCGCAGCCGAACAGCCAGTTTAAAGCATCAAGGAACAGCGATTCAACTTCTCAAACGCGACCTTCAAATTCCCAAATTGGCCCATACGGATGCTGTACTCGCAGCGACTATACTACTTTATCTGTTCGAGAAGGTAGGTCCTCATCCCTCCAAGCAGAAACAAGCGTGCTTATTTGCGGTAGGCATATGATGCCGACAACGAAAACCATTTAAGCTACTTTGAAGGAGCTCGTACCCTGATTCACCAGCGCTTCTTCACCGTAAAAGACGTAGCTTCGCAAGAGGACGAAGTCTCGTGGGCTACAAGGGTTCTGGTGAAAACATTCGTCTGGCATAATGTAACGATTATTGTGTCTAAGCCGTTCTTGTTCCAGGATAGGGACGTCGATATTCTTAGACTGACGGACTTGCTGAATGTAAAGAGTGAACAGAATCTGTATTTGCTAGGCTGGGCGAAAGATGTATTCTGGTTTATGACCAATCTTGCTGCTTTTACTCAGAGCCTACTGGTCGGTATGCCCCCAGACCAAGATAACGCTGCATGGAGTATGAGGATGCTTCCTAGAGCGATGCGCGTCGAAAAAAGGCTTAAAGCGCACACGGTGACTATAGAGTCGGTGAAATATTATATGGGAAAGGTTGAGGTTGCCGAGGACACAATGAAACATTGTCTATCAACAATCGAACTGTTACGCCGAACCTCACTGCTCTATCTGTACCAGGTGATGCCGGACTTGATGCCATCGTTCTTGGTCGACGACCTAGCGCATGAGTTACTCCAACAACTACACGACATTCCGAAGGACAGCCCCATGATAGCATACCATGGGTGGATTCTGCTCACTGTCGGTGCACAATGCCTGGATCCTATAGACCGTGGATTGGTGCTCGAAAGATTGGAGCTCAGTCACGGCAAATTTCAGCTATCGTCGGTCGCCACCAATGCAACGAAACTCCTTTTAGAGGTAAGTATCGGTTTATTTTTAATAAGTTAATTTACTTACGTGGAGAAGGTCTGGAGGCGAAGAGACGAGCGACTTAGGGACGGAACCTATACAAGTCGTGTGGGCATCGGGCATTGGACTGATGTTTTGAGGGATATCGGACCAAATCTGGCGTATGTATAAAAGTCACCGTTAGTAGCTGCTACTGGTCATCCAATCCAATCAAATATCCGTATAGGACAGCAGGTGCACGACAAAACATTATCCGACTGTGGGTTGCTTCTTTCTAGATAAGCAACACCCACGAATGTGAGCAGTAACGCCATATCGTTGATCACCAACAACTTACTCTATACCAACGAAAAGCTTTCGCTTATTTTATATCCCATCCGATTGGCTCGCTTCTAAGATGTCGTCTTCAGGTACCTCTTATCTCAGACCCCAGTATGCACTTCCAATGGACTGATAGACAGATAACAAAGAAGACAATTCTGACAGCCACGAACTCAACAGCTCTACTTAACGAAGATGGCCCGTCGTTTAGATCATGATCATGACCATCATATCGTTCGATATTATTCCTTTTCATTTCTCATTCTCCACGATGTTATCCTTTATCCAATACAGCAGGTCCTCGTCCGAGACTCCATCAGAGAAGGCGCCCCAACACCCTACGATCTCAGCGGATGAGGCTGAGAGTGCAGTTGATGGGACATACTCGAATACTCTTGACCCTGCTGCTGTCAGGCGTTTGAACCGCAAGCTCGACCTCCATGTGCTGCCTCCATTGTTCATCTTGTATTTCCTGTCGTTCCTTGACCGTGGAAATATCGGTAATGCGAAAATCCAAGGTCTCGAGAAATCGTTGGAAATGTCTGGCCAGGACTACTCAATTGCGCTATGCATCTTCTTTATCCCATACATTCTTTTTGAAGTCCCGAGCAATCTGATCCTCAAGCGCTTGTCACCAAGTACGTGGCTTAGTATTCTCGTTACCGGTTGGGGTCAGTAAATTGTTTCTTGTTGCAAGGAATTCTCGTGTGCTGAGTTTATCTAGGCATCATTACCATGTGTCAAGGCTTTCTTCGCAACTTCGGTGAAATTGTGACACTTCGAGTTATCCTAGGTGTGTTTGAAGCTGGAGTGTTCCCTGGTGAGCTATAACCCCGAGTGTGTAAAATGGCGAAGGAGACCGGTATACTGATCCCATGTGAAGGTTGCATGTATATACTAGCGATGTACTATCCACGATATGAGCTCCAATGGCGCTTTGGCATGTTTTTCCCCTCTTCAACCCTGGCGGGTGCTTTCGGAGGCGTAAGCATTCTCCAAGCTCCTCGCAGATTCCGTGCAGCTAACTGACAGCCCACTTCTAGCTTCTGGCATACGCGATTGTCAAAATGGACGGCCTAAGAGGCCTCGAAGGCTGGAGGTGGATCTTTATCATTGAGGGTTCCATTACAGCTGCGTACGGCATCTGCGTGTGGTGGCTCGTGGTCGACTGGCCTGATGAGGCGAATTATTTGAACGACGACGAAAAGGCACTTCAAAAAGCGAAGATGACACAGGATGATGGTGAAGCTTCCATGGATAGACTTACACCAGCAACGACGAAGCGCATATTTCTCGATTGGAAGATCTATCTTGGTTGCATGCAAGTCACTCTCCTCATCCCCTTAGGTCAAAAGCAATGGGCTAATGAATCATTTAGAATGTATATCGGGACAATTAATACTACATATGCAGTCTCTTTTTTCGTGCCGACTATCATTGCCGTGAGTTGCGCTGTTGGCAGTCCCTCGATCTCGCTAACAGACCGCACAGCAACTGGGTTACACGGCTTCTGATGCACAGCTCCGAACTATTCCTCTATATGTCGTTGCCGTCTTCATTCAGCTCTTATTCACATACATGGCCGATCGATTTCGAAACAGATACTTCTTCACTCTATTTTCGATTATTTTCGGCATTGTCGGATACAGTATCCTCCTCGCAAGCTCTTATGTATCCACCCAAGTCCAATATTTCGCATGTTTTCTCATCACGATAACCGGATATACAACCCTGCCGCTCATCCTAGCATGGGCTACCAACCAGGTACGCAAATCATCTCAGCATTAGTATCCGATGGGAAGATGTCAGCTAATAGTGTACTTTTTAGCTTGTCGGTCAGTACAAACGATCGATCGGCGTGGCTATGGTTGTCGGCGGAGGGAACTGCGGTGGGATCATCGCGAGCAACATTTTCCTCGAATCCGAATTCCCGTACTACAAGACCGGGTTTTCAGTTTGTCTCGCTCTGTTATTACTAACTGCCCTGGCATCGACTGGATTTGCCATTGGGCTTGCCATGGAAAACAGAGCTCGAGACCGTGGTAAAAGGGACTATAGACTACAGGATCAGAGCGAGGCGGATAATCTTGGGGATGACCATCCGAGGTATAGATATGCTTTGTGAGCTGTTGTTAAAGAGTGTTTATAGAATATAGATTATAGTGTCATGCCATAAGCGCGCCTTTTTTTTTTTTTCATTCGCGGTTATCATTACGTGCTGGGAGCCATTAGGGTTTCATATAAACCCTAGTACCTATACGAATTGGCAATAGGAAGTACTCTTATTCTTCCTGACAACAATAGCCTTAGAATTTTTAAGTTATGGTTTGGTTCCGCAACGAATAGAAAAGTAATTCACGCAGATATGTACAAAATCCACTAAAGGCCGCATGAATTGACGTTATAAACACACAACCCTCCTACAGATCAAACCGATCAGGCATGGTCACCGGAGCCACCAACGTCCACAGATAGATCGCATAGCAAATTAGACGCTGATGATCTTCACGCAGCTCGCCCAACATGTCCGACCAACAGCAGAAAAGTCCCCTGAGCCTTGCATCAAACTTCTGCGTCAGGCGTGTGGCCACCCACGTCGTTGCTAGGAAGAAGATCGTATGGAAAAGAAATTATTTGTACTGAGTGGTGTGAGAGAGTGGTTAATTGAGGGTAGTCACGGATTACTCCTCAATCGCGACGGGATAAAGCCAGAAATTACCCTTAGCCTCCATGTGCGCACATTCCTATGTATCATTGGGTCTGTCCATATCCCTACAATCTCGCGAGTTAGAAGCACCAAAGCTAACAAACAAGTCACATGGCAGTTTCTCATCCAGCCATAATAAATACCACTGTTGGCTATTGCGTCTTGCTTCCGGCGATGTCGAGTCTGTCCGTCAATAACCTCTCCCCCTATTTGCTACATTGTGCGTCGGAATTGTACTCTTCATCGACTATTTTTTCGATACCTGCAATATTGAATACGATTAGACACGCAGTACCTGTGGAGGTATACACTCACTGGTAGGCTAAATCACCCCAAGCACAGCTCAGGGGAATATACCGATGGATGCCATTGGGGGAGACGGGAGACGGCTCCTGGTGGATGACGCAATCCAGCTGCTGTACAGTTTGGCTATTCCCTTAAACCTTGACGCCTGGGTTGGCCAGAGTGTGAGGCTGAGGTGTGACAGCCATACACAGTGCACTACTATATATATCGGTTCCTGAGTATGATGAGCGGATGCTCATCATAGTGGTCTTTTTGGCCCAACGGTAGAACTTCTAAAACAGAGCTTAATGCAACGATACGGGGCACTATAAAGAAGCCACTGAATTTATTCTTCTAAGCTAAGCAAGTCAAGTACAGTCATACTCCCATGCTAAGGTAATTGTTCTGATATTCTCCAGCGACACTGGCATCTTAGTCTTCTCCCTAGCTTTCAGATAAAAACAAAGCCGCTCTCACTCCCCACATTATCCTCTTCATCGTCCTCGTCCTTGTCCTCTTCCACCTTGCTTTCGCTCTCAGTCTCACTGTGACTCTCCAGGTCATTATCGCTCCCATCCCTCTCGCCTTGACTCTCATATTCACCCTCTTCACTCTCTGGATATCCCTCCTCGTTACTATCATTGCTATCTTCATTTGTTCCAAAAGGAGACGGTGGAAAATCGGGAATACCTGACTCGTCATGTGCTCGGGACTGTTTTCTTCCTTCCCGCGGCTGAAGCTGGTGGCGCTCCCTACGGGCGTTGTATTGGGCCTGCTGCCACTTGATTAGCTGTTGAGACGCCTGCTGCTGCCAGGTCTGAAACCGCTTCTGATTTTGGACTTCACAATGCTGTTTCTGGGATTGGAGCCACTGCTGCCAGCGTAACTGCCGAATCTGCTGATCTAAATTTTGGTACTGAGCCTGCAACGTCCAGAGAATGCTCTGAGTTTGCGGCTGCCACGGCTGATAATATGGGTGATGCCAGACCTGGTATCGGGGCTGAGGGTAATGGGGCACGTGTGGGGGCTGCTTCCAGTACTGGCTCGGTGTCTGTGGATTCTGAGTCAGGTTTTGAGGCTGTTGTGGTTGGTATTGGCCGTTAAGTGGCTGTTGCGTGGGCTGCTTCGGTGCCTGTCGGTAATCAGGCGGGATCGGGCATTCTTCTTCATCAGGCTGTTGTGTCTGGACCTGGTCCTTAAACTCCTGACGCCATTTCTGGAACCACTTTTCCTGCTTTACCTTATCCTGAACCTTTTGCCTCTTGTGCGTGAATTGCTGGTGGAAAGGCTCGAATTGGACTTGCTGCTGGGAGTGCTGGATCTCGCGTTGGCATTGATGAGTCTGCTGCCGTTCCCGCAAGCATCTATCCCAGAGATTCCGCTGGTTCTGTTGCTCAACCTGATTCTGCTGGGACAGCTGCTCACGCGTGCCCTGGGGTTGGTCCTCGGGGTGGTTGAACTGCTTCCGCTGGCCCTGAGAGAGGAGTGGGTCTTGAACTTCTGGCTTTTGCTGCGTCTGCTGCTGGTGGATATTGGCATCCTCGGTATCGTGCTTCTGCGTAGGCGTATGCTTCTCCTCGCGGCTGTGACATCGAGCCTTGCATACCCATACCACGTCATCTCCCTATGTAAATGTTAGATCTGGTCACTATTGAGCTCTGATATGGAACTTACCAAGTCGATCGTCAACTTAAATACCTTGTGAGGCATTTTGGAGTTGTTATGCTGTTGAATGCTTGATTGTGAAATGTTGTAGTGCAATGGAGAATGGTTGTAGTGGCAAAAGAAACGACGGGAATAAGAGAATGCTTGTAGGCACGTTGTCTGCTGCCTATCAAGCGAAATGGAAACATCATGACAGCTTGATTGAAATATACATAACGTTGCCTGGAGGCTACCATAAGATTAGTTGTTGTCAAGTAATCTACTGCGATAAGTAGGGGAATAGAACATGAAGACATGTCTAAGAACTCAGTGTTAGGATTCTAGCCTGTCTTAACTAGTTGCCACACCATCTATCTATAGACCAACTCATCGTTGTCTTGTATTCATAGCCATAATACCAGCAATCCGCAATAGCGTGCAATTTTCTTTATTCCCCCATTACTTAGGTATACCAAACACACTCTCACACTCGGCACTCGACTCCGCATCAGATGTAGAAGACGACCTTGAGCTCTCGGGAATCAATGACCTGTTATCAGAGCTACGAGACTGTTGTTCCGGTTTCTCCTGCGGAGGCTGAATTCGAGACGTCGACAGCTGGCCCTGACTTTTGAAAGGCCGCCGTCCACCGTATGCAGCTACCGGAAACCGGGGCAGATCCGTAGTCTCCTTCTTTGGTGCGATCCAATCTTTCTCCACCGAGGGTTTACCTTGATTCTCGTCCCTCTCATTCTGGTTAGAAGTATATGGGTACTGTGGCCAGCTCGGAAACTGCTCTTGTGTCTCAAGCGGAGCTTCACATTCAGCATAAAACCGCTCAAGCCTATACCGGCGAATTTGCTCTTGAGTTGGATTCCGGGGTAACTGCATCTTCTGCTGAGGCTTCTCCTGAGACTTTGACTTCGCGTTCTTGTCCTTCTCCACCTTTTGACCTTGTTGCTTCTGGCCCTGCTCCTGCTCCTGTTTCCGTATCAGCTTCACGGGCTGCGAATACCGCGGTAAATCTGGCGCCTGGTGCAGTGCAGGCTTTTTGTGAAACGGTTGCCTTTCGTACTGATATGAATTCTTTGGATACTGGGGTAGGAGAGAAATTCGCTTCTGGTGCTTTAGTTGGGATTCTTGGTGTTGGGAGTTGGGTTCGGGGAGATGTTTGCCGCAGCAGCAACCTTGAGTCTGGACATGGTTATGGTTGACTGAGTCTTCCTGTGTGTGTGTGTGTGTATGTGTGTTAGATTGGGTTTGTTTGGGCTAAGAAGTGATCTTACCAGGTATGTCTTGACGGTCACTTCCTTCTTTGGTGTTTGCTTTTTGGGTGATTCCTTTTTCGACATTTCGGTGTGCATTTGAAATTAAATTGTAGAGAGTGAGAGAATAAGCGAAGAATTATTTGATAAACATGCAGGGAGAAATGTAGGACAAATATAAGATACCGGATAGAAGGATCCCTCGCTGCCTGTCCAGCGAAATGGAAGCGTCATAAGCATCCGAGTGTCTAGGGTCTACATGTTGTTGCCTTCTTTCTACGAAAAGGACTACACAATTCCCGACTTGGAAACACGATATAATCCGGAAGTTGAATTTATGAGCCAAGCTAAGCGAAACTAGCGAGATATTATTCTTCAACGCGTCCGGTAATTTCTACCACCAAGATCCGTCACCTTCGGTAGCTTTCCAATTTCCGATTATAACAATACTCTCATCACTATCCGAGCTCAAGCTCACTATAGATGGAGATCTTGAACCATCAAAGTTCAACTGCTCATAATCAGTGTCAGGCTCCGATGGGGGCTTTCCCGACCCGAGCTGGGCAAAAACCCAAGGAATATGGCACGAATCCAGAACGTACGGAACCGACTTTTGCGACTCGGTATCATGAGAAGAGGGCTGTTGTTGTTGTTTCTCTTGCATCTTTCGCGGTTGACTCTGAGGATGCTGTTGTCGCGAGGAATCAACATGAGCACCAACCGTCCACGGAAACATAGTCTGAAGGGTCCGATCAGACAGGGTTTGAGGCGAACTCACAGCATTCACACTCTGTTGGAATAAAAACGGTTCCCGGGACTGAACTTGAGACGGCTGAGGCGGCTTCTGGGGCCGTGCATCTGGTTTCTGGTACTGAGCGGGCACGTACATCTGTGGCTCGGGGTGGGCATGAGAGAGCTGTTGTAGGGGCTGGCCAGATGCCGAGTGGGACTGGGGCACATTCATAAGCTGCTGTGATCGGAACCCTTGTTGAGATAGTCGTCGCGTGGCCTTGTCAACTTGCTTCTCCACAGGTTCTGTATACGGACGCTGCTGTTTCTGCCGGCTTTGAGGCTGGCTTTGGGGCCGATCATCGCCCGGCTGGTTCTGAGGCTTGCTCTGTGGATGAGACTGTCCTCGAGATGGATGCCCGGCCAGGGTCTGAGGTTTCTTTTGCTGTCGCTTTTCACCTTCGGGCCAGTTGGTGCCCTCTCGTTGGTATTGAGCCGGTACGTACTTCGATTTTTTCGGCTCACTCTGACTCGATTTAACCTGGGCCACATCCAGAATCCGCTGCAATCGCTCTCGATACTCGGACCGTTGTCGTGTGGCTTCATCGATATCTCGCTGCTTCAGTCCTTCCGCGGGCTGTGTCCACCAATGAGGCAACCACTGTTGTGTCTCAAATTGAGGTTGTTCAGGTTGGCTTCGGGGAAGTCGGGCCTGGGTTGGAACAACTTGGGACTGATTCTCGCTGCTCTGGGCTTGCTGCTGCGACTGGGGCTCCGGAGTCTGCAGCTTCTCATGCTTTTGACAAGAAAAACTATGGTTCTGCTTCTGTTGGGTACGGCGACCTCGTCGGTTCCGGCGCCGGCGCTGAGACTTGTTCCCCAGGATCATTATCTCCAGTTCGCCTTGTAAGGTTATCTCCACTCTGTCCCCCTATCGATGCATGTGAGATTCGGTTTTAGAGAAACGGTTTAATAAAATCTTACAGGGTTTAATTTAATGATCGCTCTTTGATTCCGAGGCATCTTGGTGTGTTTATCGTTGGGTGCGGGTGTGGTTGAAAATGGGATTTAAAAATTAAAGATGACGCAGAGTAAGCTGATGCCTGCAATGGAAGCATCATCATGATAGTATCTCTGCCTGTTGTGACGCTACAATGGTTTGGAATATTAGATTTTTTTTTTTTTTTTTAGGAAACTTTTAGTATTTGATTCAAGCTAAACTAAGCTGTCTCAAAATAAAGACTCGCTATATGAACGCCCCCTTGTGCAAGACATCAAACGCTACTGGCGCTGGAATAATACCGGAGACCTTCTTTATTGAAATGTAGCTCGAAAGCTAACGGTCACGATTGCATTGTGTTTCTCGTACTCACACATAGCGATATCCGTCAAATATAACGGATGCCTCGTCCTCGTCGATACCCGGACACGCACGCAATGTAGAAGGAGACCTAGAGCCCTCAGGACTCGACTGAGTATTATACTGCGCCTGCTGGGTCTCAAGTTGGTACTGCCTGCGCATGTTGTCAAGACATTGCTGCAGGTTTCGTTGTCTCTCATCCCTCAACTGCTCCTGTTGGGTCTAGCTCTGGTGATTCTGACGCATCTTCTCAATCTCTTGGTCCAGCAAGTGTTGGGTGTCGTATTGCTGCTGTTGCGAGGAATTGATTAGAGCCGGTGACTGCCAGACGTGGTGGTTCTGGGTCGCTTGGTTTAAACGGTTCAAACGCTCCCAAGATCTGAATTCCCTTGGATTCATCGTCTCGTAAAACTGGCTCGGTACCCGCTGTGACTGACGTTGTTCTGGGGGTTGCAGTAAACATTGGGTTTCGACCTGCTGTTGTTGCGAGGGGGTATTTGGAGCCGATTGCTGCCAGGTGTAGTCCTGGGACATGGTCATTGGACTGAGGCGGTTATGACGCTCCCAGGATTGGAAGTCACTTGGAGACACCGTCTCGTAGAACTGGCTTGGTATCCCCTGCGGCTGCGGCTGTGCCTGTTGCTGCTGAGTCCTTTTATTGTGCTGCCGCCAGCGTTCGCTGTTTCTGGGATGCTTGCCACCGCGGAAGTTCTGGGTCTGCCTCCTGTGGTTGTGGCGTAAGTGGTAACGGCAACCCTGGCCCTTGCGGTGTATCTGAGCTTTTTCTCCCTGTGAGATAATGTTAGACTAGTTCGTTATAAAGAACATAGATTTTGACTTACCAGGTTGAATGTGAAATTCAGTTTGTGAGGCGTTCTGTATTTCTTGGTAATGCCACCTCGGCGGTTTCGGTGCTGGGTCTCGTGCCAGTTTCCCTTTGGCTGTAGATGGATGCATGTTAGCTTGAACTTTCATAGGGTTCTGATGTATATCTTGCCAGTGTGAATGTGATATTCATTCTGTTAGACATCGTGGATTGTGTTGTTGTTGTTGCTGTTGTGTGTGAAATGCGTGGAAGGTCGTAGTTTGAAGAAGAGAGGAGAAGAGAAGGAGAGGAAAAGGGAGGAGAAAGGTTCTTGTAGGTGCGAGGCTTGCTGCCTGTCAAGTCGAGTAGAAGTGTCATGTTGATATCTCGGAGGTTATAACACGGTGCCTGGCGGCTACCACGGTTTACAGGATGGCTCCTACGCTGAATACTAACAGATAGCACGACTAGCTTTCATTTCGTTCTCAGTTATCGCTACATTTTCTGATTAAGTCATCTCTCGTACTTCATGAACAAGTTAAATAAATGGAGTGTATGTATGTAGTCGACCGGTCATACTGCTGCCCCCAATTGTCCCGGGTTGTCTTTCGGTTGCCTCTTGCCACATCTCCTTGGGTGCCGGTGCATCCATCATTTCCACATCCGCCATCGTACCATATGTCGAAAAGAGGAGGTAAGCCCCAGGGGCCAGATCTCGGAAGGCGGAGGTCATTGGTGCTTCGGATTGATGTGTTGGGTGAAGGGGAAGACCCCAGATAGTATGACATGGACGGAGGATAGGCTGACAGGCGCTGCTGATGCGCTGCTGGTAGGGATTGAGGTCTGTTTGTGACAAGACTCCCATTACTGCTACTCAGTAACAACTGGAGAATATGGCACCGAAGATAATCTTTGTTATCCATGCGAAACGACTAACATGCCAGCCCAGCAGGTCTGATTCCTTGTGGCGAGTTAAGTATGAAGAATCATGGAGATCCTTCCGAATGAAGATCCGATGACGTCGAATTCAAAGTGTGAAAGGCTTTGGAAGACGGTGGTGGAGAGGCATTCTTGCTCTTCCAAGCTGTAACCATGGTCTTCACAACAAAAGAACATAGGACTCTGTCTGGTCATCTTGTGAGTCAATAGCTGGTTGAAGAAGCTTCTGTGGGATAATACGGGAGACCTCAATTCTTCCTGTTGATCTGAGCAATGTCTCTAGGTGGGAAATGCATGTCGTGCCCTGTGATATACTCCTGGTTGTTTTGCTTCAATCGTCATCCAAAGAATGACACATCCGGTTTTGTCTGTCATAAAGGGTTTTGTTGCGAAAATATACTGGAACAACATGAGTTCGCGCAGCAATAAGGCCACCGTAAAGTCCACAAAGAAATGGGATTCCACACAGGACCAGTGATGTTCTGCAAGACCTATGGACAAGGAGCCAACGGATGTCGATGTCGGCGTTATAAAATAGAACATTCCCCGAGGGTGACGGTAAAACTGTCCAAAAACCTCATATAGGGCCTGAATACTTGGTCCTATCCCCATTTTTCAAGCGGGCGATATCAAAGGAGCTCACTAGATCGCCTTCACGCATGTAAAAACATTCGTGATGTTTACTGTGTCGCTGAAATAGGGAAGATGCTATTTCAAGTGTCACCTGCGACGCTAGATACGTCTTTGAACCAGGCTTTACAACTTCCGTGGTTCTCTTGCCGGCCCTCTCGCCAAACAGTGCGTCCAAGCATATCCAGACGTCATCCACGCCAGCCCTTTGGGATCTTCAGGCTTAATATCTGCAATTTGACAGGCCTCATCCATACTGGGAGCAGCTGCTGACATGCTCAGGCCCTTGCCATTTACCTTGAGACTTTCCACCGGGACTTGCTTCTCATAATTGCCAGAATGGTCAGCTTCGTCTGCAGTGCGGAGGCCCGCGAGGTAATCCGCAGCCGTGCTTAACACACGGAGTGCCTCGGTGCCCGTTATCATCTCATCCACACTGGTGTTGGTCGGCTTAAAGAGGATCGATTCGTCGTTGAAGAATCCATGGGTTTAATCGCTGATTCGCTTAGCCACAATTGCAGAAGTAATACCCAAGGTTGTTCTGATAGGGATTCCTCTAGCAATCTCTTTCTGAAACACCGAACATAAGCATGGAACATTAAGTACCGTTTGATCGTCTAATGAGACGTGTGAGCATAAAACATCGGACAACCACTATCATTATCAAGGAAATCACCGAAAGAGCATCAATCATCGCATCGCCTAAATTTTGCTATGGTCCTCCGCCTTGTGTCAGGTCAGACTGGGCTTTACTCAGATACCAGTCTAAATCCATGAAGCTGCGCCAGTTCTAAACTTCCAGGAAAAGGCCACAAAGAATACTTGTGAATAATTATTGGCTGTTCTTTGGTCATGTTGAAGTGATTGCGCTGCTGCAATGTGGTATCCCCATAGTGCAGTGAATGATAATAGAGCGAAGAAAAAAATCGACAGGAGGGAATAGGGGCCCTTATGGAACTAAAAACATCTTCAGGATAACCTCCTGTCACTGGTGTAGTATAGTAGCAAGGACAGAATGACTCTAGTATACCGCACGCTTTTATAACAGTCATACTAAGGAATCCGAAGATCGTAGGGAAGATGAATGGCTAGTCGGGTCCTCCTATATTTACTTCCTCAACCTTCGCAGAAGGACCTAGCCAGTCATCACTTTGTAATCAGTTGTACCGAGTTCTCCAGGATTTGACTGGTGGCCCTAAGCCCAAGAACTGAACCGTGCTTCTATCGGCTAACAGATTGCGAAACCAGGTTTGCTGCATTTACCGCCGCAAGGTTCAAGCAAAGTTTATGCCATTCCCACGTCGCATTCTTAATATAACGAAGTAGATCTAGTCTCCGATCAAGTCTTGATGGGAGATGTTTCAATTTGTACCAGTATAAGGCCCTAGCATCTTGAATCACGGACCGCGAGCGACATACCTTCTCAACCCAAACCATCCCTGGCCCAAGCCTTTCCCTCCACTCCTCCACCGACACAATCACGTCCTCAAACTCCAAATCCCGCCTCGAAATAGGCCCCATGACCATATTACCTCCAAACCAGACCGTCACTTTTTCTGTGTCGACGTAGAGTTTCCCAGTGCGATAGGCTTCGAGAATAGCGTGGATGTTTGCCAGTTCTTCGTCGGGGATGTTGGAAGTGTCGCAGTACATATATTTCAGATACTGTATTCGCCATAATACGTCGGGATGTAGGTTTTGTGGCTCTGCAGGGTCAACGCTATTTCAACAGAGTCAGTCAGCCGGGATATCATCAAATGATAGAAGTCAGGATATTGGGGATATGGGAGGATTACGGCTGCGTAGCGGGCATATTCTTAATCGCCCACTGTATACCCTCACGACAACCCTCGGCGTTAATCCCTCGGGCCATCAGCTCCTCGCACTGCTGGATCATTGTATCTCGTCGACCGTGTACACTTCTGTCAGTAACGGCATAGAGAGTCACAGACAATGGACTGCGAGCTTGAGTAAACGTACCCAGGATAGTCAAGGTGGTAGATCGCTCGTTCGACCTCAACCAGTGGGTAGCGGGCGAGCATTTCATCGATAGTGAGTTTTCCATCGTTGTTGATGGCCATTCTCTGATCGGGAGAATGTAAAGATCCAGTAACGGTCATCTTTGAAAGCTGTCGGGCTGTTAAAGCAAGAAAAAGAATGGGGGGTGGGAATAAGCTTGTCGGACTATGAGCGCTGTATGACGGCCATGTCATTGACCGCGGTGATAGCGGCCTCAGGCACTACCCCCACCACCTTGTAACTTATCCAACATAATGCGCTCACCATTCCTCATCTATACACAACCGCAATCCTGACGTCTATCTTGTATATTCATTTCATGGTACGGGTCGCATCCCATGTGGTTTGCCACTAATCCAACGGACCCTGGTTTATCTGGGGGAATCCGCGGGTGCGGAGGGAGTTCTGAGGTACCTTACACCACTCCGTGAGTATATATGACTGTAACTATGAGTATGGGTTTGATCATAGAAAATTTTCATAGTTAACTGTATGTTTACATATGCAAGTACATCTAGTTACACCGTACATGTACATCTCAGGCAACTATTACCCCTAGCTCAACGATCCCCGTACACCGTCCCCGTATTTATCCCGCCCAGCCCATGCTCATGCACGGTACGGTACACGGCCTCGCGATCAACAATCAATTCAATAGCGCGCACAATAAACCCAACTCAATCCAATCAACACGACAGATCATCTGCACGAGTGCCCCGTCCGTTCCCTGTCCTGTACGGAGTACTATGTACCCCGTATTCAGCCAGTCGACCCTCATCCCTGCGCTGCTGATGCAATAATTAATAAAAAAAAAGGATAATAAATTGACATCTCTAATGCCAACGCCAACGCCCGCCCTGCCGTGCCCTGCCGTGCCCTGTAGTGCCCTGTAGTGCCCTGTAGTGCCCTGTAGTGCCCTGTAGTGCCAGATGAAAGCAGGAAGCCGAGCCGAACACGGTCACGGTCACGGGCGTGCCGAGGAATGTATGTATGTAGCCAGAGAGGATTCCGTACACTACAGAGTGCATAGCAGGGCCGAGACAGTGTAGTATGTGACTACTGATAACCAAAACAAACAGAATATGCACACTGCAGCCAGAGTGTACCATACAGTGCACAAATAAGACATTATCACCTAATGCAGGGATAATAACAAATAAATCAAATATGCATTGCATTGCATCGCATCAGCGTGTCGTACAACACCTTCTGTGCCGCGTATGCGCATTTGCATTATTTACAAACACGGAAGGCCATGCAGATTGGCATTCCACAGACGTTCCATTCAGCTTCTGTTGACATTCCAGTGGAGTTAGTCACATACTGACGAATGCATCGAAGGCGTCGAATGTCGAATTCGAATGTCACGATCCGAGAAATGCATGCCTGCATACTTTACGATCTCAGCATAGTTGATACGATCTGGAAAGAAAGAAGGATTCGAGAAGTATTTTTGTATTCTGTAGTCAAAACTACAAGAAAAGATAGTCAAGTATACTTGTAGTATATCATCTAGATACTAGAAAGCAATATTAATGTGCAGCAATGCAGAGCAATATAACCACATTTTCCTCCCAACCATGACATCATGGCTCATTACCAGCAAGACAAGGACATACACAGCCATCTGTGCTAGGTATCACAAACATCAAAAAGATAAAAAAGGAAATTAGAGAGTAAAGAAAAAAGATAGAAAGGGAAAAAGGGAAAAAGGGAAAAAAGAAAAAAAAAAAAAGTACTATGTACAGCCTACAGCTGGCTGGGCTGGAAAGAACCCAACTCCTGCGAAGCAGGCGGGTCGGTCTCGGCAATGCGTTCCTCAACCTTCTCTTCACGGTCCATGATGCCGTACTCGGCGGCCTTTTCTTCAATCTCCTCCTGGGAGAGCTTGGGGAGTTCGCGGGCAGCGTGGACGTAGGACATGTTCTCGAGGAAGCCCTTGGCAAAGATGAGGTCAATTTCCTCGAGCGTGCGACCGGCGGTTTCGGGGTAGAAGAACCACACGACGGGGACGAAGAGGCCGTTCCAGGCGGCGAAGAAGAGGTAGGTGCCCCACTTGATGCGGGCGACCATCACGGGGGTGATCATGACGACGGTGAAGTTGAAGAGCCAGTTGGAGCAGGTGGAGACGGCGTTGGCCTTCGCGCGGGTCTTGATGGGCGAGAGCTCGGCGGGGTAGAGCCAGGGAAGGGGCAACCAGGTGGCACCGAAGACGCACATGTACAAGAAGAAGCCGAAGACGGCGCCCTTGGCGGTCTCGGGGTCACCGGGGATCAAACAGCCGAAAACGATGATCATGGCGACGCATTGACCGACGGAACCGCCCAGGAAGAGGTTGCGACGACCGATCTTCTCGACGAAGAACCAGGAGAAGGTGGCGAAGATGGCGTAGCAGATCATGTTGATACCACCGATCAAGAGGGCGAAGTTGTGCGATTGTCCGATGGAGTTCTCGAGCAGAACGGGCAGATAGTAGATGACAGCGTTGCAACCGGAGATCTGCTGGAAGAACTGCGACGAGGAGCCGACAATCATGCGACGGAAGTGCTGCGAGGGGCCACCGGTGAAGAGGTCAGAGAAAGAGGATTGTTGAGCGCCGGAGCTGTTCCAAGTTAGCACTAGCCTCTTAAGCTGGAGAGAGAAAAGGGACGTACACTCTAACAGAATCAATGACAATGTTCTTCTCAGCCTGAGCCTGGCGGTCATCGATATCGACACCCTGGAGGGCAGCAATGACCCTCTCACCTTCGGGAACCTGGTCATGGGCAACGAGCCAGCGAGGCGACTCGGGCAGATAGTACATGCCGACAATGATGATAACACCGAAGAAAATCTGGAAGGCAATAGGGAAACGCCAGACCAAGTCCTGAGGACCGAAGTGGGCACCGTAATCGATCCAGTAGGCAATCATAGTACCAATGGCGATAACACCACCCTCGATACAGATGAGCAGACCACGGTTCTTGGCGTGCGAGCATTCAGCCTGGTAGGTGGGGATGGTGGAAGTGTTCATGCCGTTGCCGATACCAGTGATAACACGACCGAAGATGAACTGCAGCAGAGGGATTTGGTCGGTAATGGCCGTGACCTGGATGATGACACCGATAATCATGACAATGGCACCCCAGATAACCATCCAACGACGACCCATCCAGTCACCGAAGAGGAGGGCCCAGATGGCACCAAAGAGACATCCTGTCCTGGTTAGTCCCTATTGCGAAAGGCATATCTAGATCCCGGATGGCAAAACTCACCAACTTCATATACAGCTGTAACGGTCGCCTGCATCACATCATTTTTCCTGGTGGCTGTGAACATGTTGTTGAAGGCCGGGTCCGAAATAATACCCGACATGACACCTTGATCATAACCGAACAACAAGAAACCCATAGTCGCAATGGTGGAGACCGTCAGGGACAGCTTTTTCCCTGTCAGGCCCAGATAGGTAGGGGGCGCCATGATGGTGGGGGAGTTATCGTTAATGGAGCCAGTCCAGTTTTAGTCCAGGTCAGTCTAGGTCGAAGTCCAGCCTCAAGGTATAGACCAGCACAAGACTATAAAAAGACAAATCCGGGGAGGAAGAAAAGAGTAAAGGGCAAAAAGGAGAAAGGGACAAGATTTGGGGAGGAGAGGGATATATAAGTTTACTGAACACCGATGCGGAATCTTTGTCATAATTGGAATATTA